TATGGAAACCAACTTGACAATAAACTTCATATATTGAAAAAAAAGAAGTTTTAATTGTGGGTGTAATTTTTTCTATTTGTGTTTTCAATGTAGATATAATTTTTTTCTATTTCCATGCTGTGGAAGTCCTCAGGAATAAGCTCATTATCTGTAGCTTTTGCATTATACATTAATGTTGGGGGAGGGGAGCATATTGAGCACTTTGACCCTGAGCATTATCTACAACTGGTTCTCTTCTTTCCCATTGCTTGACACTGACAGTAAAGTTAGTTCAAGTTAAATAATAAATTTCTTAAAGGAACAAAGAAAACATGTTTTGATATCAATTTCTATAAAGATATTTCCACATCTGATTAATTCCCTTGTATAGTGTTATCAGGTAGTCAATTTTACTTTCTGAAAGTAAATTCACATGGGACTTCTAGTTAAGTTTTACCTATTTGTTTTGAACCAAAAGCATTTGAGTATTTATGTTTAATTTAACTGATCACAACTGTTATTCCCCTTTCCCATCTTTCTGTTAGGTAAAGCCACTCCTCCAAAAGCCACTAGCACTAACCTCCAAAATGTTCACCGCAAAACAGAAATATAAAAGAAGTAAGAGTTGTTCCCAGTAAATCTTGCCAAATAATGTTCAAAAAGAATAGTTTATCAATCTGCTTCACCTAAATAAATTCAGCACCTGATAAATGCAGTGCATAAACTGCCTAGCACATGTAAGCTGTGTTCATACAGATGTTTATCCACAGGCTTAGCCCCCTCCCCAGTGTATATTTTAGAGAGTGCTGACAGGCACCCATTGATGTAACTAATTTTTTTAATCCTAAAAATTCCTGGTAGTAATTTCAGAGAAAAAAATAAATGATATGACTATCAGGTCTGACAGGAGAAAATCTGATTCTTCTGAGGAAAAGCTATAATTAGAACTATAGTGTTTGTCTTTGGAAGACAACTGATCTGAACAACTTTCACTGAAAGGTGAAAGAAGCTGATCTCAATCACCATCAACATGTGTAATTCTCATTTGAGCATAAATAGGCTAGATTTAATTCTTCTGTGTCTTAGACTGTGATTCATCTATCTATAGATAATTATAGAAACTAAGGTTGGGACAAGCATCAGGTCTTGATGTCAGATTCCATCCTGTGACTGTATATAGATGCTTCTTAAATCCAATTTGAAGTGTTATAATAGGTTCTATTGTAAATACATGGCTCCATTTTCATAACCTGCATTTACATGTGTCCCATAAATAATTTTTCAAAATTATCTACAGTGCACCAATTTGCACAAGTATAGTCACTCAAAAAAATCACAACTTCCTTCAGTAATCTTAGAACTACAAACACACAGTCTGTTGTCCTTTCTAAAATATTCAAATTTACCCATGCTGCAAAATTTGGTCTGTTAAATTTTCTTCAGTTTATTTATGTAACTATGCTACATTACAAGGACCCAGCAAAATAATTCCATTGCTTTCATAGCATTAAGTTTGCCTAAATCAGCAAACTGGAAAGATCACATCAAATTGTCTGTGGATATACATACAAAGCTTCAGTTTTACACAAATCAGCAAAAATGGTGTTCATAAAACTGCAAAAAAAAAACTACATTGTATATTCTTCTTCCCCTCTCTCTGTTCTTTCTCGGAAAGCTAAAAGTATAAATGCAGTAATACCTAATTCAGATTCCACTCATTTTTAATTTTTGTAATTCAGGCAAGAGCCAGGCATGATTTTTAAACTCTGCAATATTTCTTTTTTGGGTTTTATTTAAAAGATGTTTTCAACTAGCATGTATCATTTTATACCACCTATTATATAAACAAATATTTCATGTATTAATACATTTTTATTTCTGTATTAAAATAAATCTAAAGGTCTTAATTAGCTTCAACTTTCTTTGATTAGTTCTAGTAACTGGTAGTACTTGAAATTATTTCAATGGAATTTCCTCCATTATCTCGACTTTTGACAAACTGTGGATGGCTTTCCAGATAGTCTGAATAAGGAAGATTGAATTAATATTAACTTTCTTTTGAGAATCTGGTGGGTGATCAGAATACAAACTCTGGATGGAGAGTTCCTGGGAGCAATCCCTGTCTTGACACATATAAATTCTGATTTTTTTTAATGTTTATTTATTTTTGAAAGAGAGAGAGCGCACACCAACAGGGAAGGGGCAGAGAGAGAGGGGGAGACACAATATCTGAAGCAGGCTCCAGGCTCTGAACTATCATCACAAAGCCTGACATGGGGCTTGAACTCATGAATTGGGAGAGCATGACCTGAGCCGAAATCGGATGCTTAACTGACTGAGCCAGCTAGGTGCCCCTAAATTCTGATTTCTTAAGCAAGTGATTTAACACATCTGTGCTTCAACTTCCTCATCAATGAAAACTGGAATAATATAGTACCTACTCCATAGAATTACCACTATTAAATGAGTTAACATTTAAGTCCTTGACATATAGTAATTATTATGCCTTTTTATCAAATTCACAGCTAAAACTCACCTATTTGGTTTGCTCTCATTTCCTTTACACTTGAATAAAATTGTCACCAATGCTTACCTGTAACCACTCCTTACGCTTTTGAAGTAATCTGTACAATTATGACAATTGTTATGGCTTTGTGGAGGACCTATTTCATTGTTATGTATTAACTTATGTGTTAAATTTCATATCTTAGAAAAATAACATAGAATTAGCATATTAAAGAAGGATGAGGCAGGTAAAAGCCCAAGCTTGTGTGCTGAGGAAGGTCACTTGTCATCACCACCATCACTAGGGAGCCGAAGAATGTGGGCAATCAGATCTCCAGGTCTCATGAAGAGCATGTTCTCCTGAAACATGCAGATTGGGAGACGTTTACTGTCATTGTGCCCAACTGTCACAAAGCAGTGATCATCGTGGGTTCCTGAGGCTGTGGTCACGTGAATGTTGTCATCATGTGGACACTACAATTATGTTGGAAGCCCAAACCTACTGGTAATGTCAATACCATGGGCTTCTAAACCCTGAGTTTACCTGGTCTCTCTGGACCAGTTGCCACTATGATCATGTGGTAGATTCAGCTCTTCAAGTCACTACAGCATCATGGACTCCTAAATCCTGCCCATCACGTGTATTCTTACTGTCATGTGACCCTGAGTAGCTAATGGCATGTGGAAGCCTAAGCTCTGGAAGTCATGTGGGTATCCTGCTTCCGATGGTCATATGGAATGCTATGGTCACATGTCAGGTTTAGTTGTCTCTATCACACAAGTTCATGGACTGCCAAACTCTTCAGATCTATGAGTCAGCAGCCATGTTGCTCCTACCATCACATGACAGGTAAATCCTTGCAGTCACGTGAACACTGCAGCTATCCAATCACTGTTGGTCACTTATATCCAATGGTCACGTGAGGCTCAGCGTTCTCAGTCACGCGAAAATCGAGGGCTCCTGAACCTGAGGTAGCTTAGATTTTTCCGCCAAACGGACCCTGCCAGTCAAGGCCCTGGAAGTCAGGTAGACCCCAACAGCTGTCGGTTACAGGGATCCTGCAGTCATGTGATTCCCCTACGGTCGTGTGCGAGTGTCTGTCTGTACTTTTAAGTGTGTGGAGAATCTCCTGAAGTGTTAACTTAGCTTTCTGAGAAGTCAGACCTATACACGCAGAAGTCTTTTAAAATTGTGGTTTGCACCCTGACAAATGGGAAACTTTTCGGGAGACTCTGGTTCAGATCCCAGTGTTCCCACCAACTTGTATACCGTGCCGTGACAAAAAGTACTCGGGTAGGTGGGGCAGCAGCAAGTACTAGATGTTTACTCGGAGAATTGAAACGAAAGGATGCGGCAGGGGTTCATGGACTGCTCTCAATGGCTAGTCTCTAGAAACGCGGTGGGACCTCCTTCACGTTCCTCTTCCCCACCCCCACACCAAAGCCATACTCTTGATTATCGCCCTGCATATTAACTGTGTGTGCGGTGTAATGGATTCATCTGCCATCATCTGACCATATTGTTATCAAGGACCCTGGAGACCTCCTAGATGCTAATTTGTATAGACAATTCCAAATCTGATTTTAATTTCTGTCTGTTACTTGATTCTCTAGAAAATAGGGAAGGAGACTTCTTTTAAGAGTTGGACATTTTTTGGGGCGCCTGGGTGGCGCGGTCGGTTAAGCGTCCGACTTCAGCCAGGTCACGATCTCGCGGTCTGTGAGTTCGAGCCCCGCGTCGGGCTCTGGGCTGATGGCTCAGAGCCTGGAGCCTGTTTCCGATTCTGTGTCTCCCTCTCTCTCTGCCCCTCCCCCGTTCATGCTCTGTCTCTCTCTGTCCCAAAAATAAATAAACGTTGAAAAAAAAAATTTTTTTTTTTTAAATATTTTTAAGTGTGAAAGTAGCCACTATATGAAGTTTTAAAATATATTTCTTATATTATTTTGTAGTTCAGCAGTTTTTCAAAGTACATATTGGGCACATATATTTTTGTGCTAGGACTTTCTAAATGGCTTAAACTAATCTAACCAGACACTATTAACTTCTGATATTCCTCCTGATTTTCTATCCATTGCTTGTTAGACTCCTTGAAAACCCTCTCCCTCCCTCGTTTTCTTCATGTGGAAACAGCAATTTATTTTAGAAAAGCATATTAAGTAAAATTACAGGTGAGACATTTCATAAAGACAATGTAGGTGTTAGTTAATGAGTTGAATTCATCAAATAAAGGATTGCGTTTACATTTATGGTGTTTTTAAGTATTGTTTGATAGATGGTTAAAGAATATCTTCACGTGTAATATTTTTATTATAGTATATCCACTTTACTTTTTCTCTCATTTCAGCACTTCCAAGTTTGATCTACAAAACACTATGTCTGAAAGACAGCAACAACAAAAATGTGTTCTTCCATTAAAGAAATGTGAGACATACAGAAATGAAGGTAAAAAGATTTTTATATTGTCATATTTTTAGGATAACTATGCTAATATGCAATTTGAATATCAAAGAGAGAGGTAGTGTTAGCCCATTCAGGCTGCTATAACAGAACATCATGGAGTTTACAAGTGGAAGGGTTGCAAAGTGAGCCAATTCATACTATATTTTACAGAACCAAATCTTTTTGCTATTGTAAATGATATATTCACAATGAAATATTATTTTCTGTTTGTTATAATTCTTTTGTGTATATTAGTATTATATCCAATAACATGGTTAATCTCTATTATAATTTTCTGTAGATTCTCTTCAGTCTTTTATGAAGATGGTTTTGTTTCTTCACTATTACACATTTAATAATTTATGTATACATGTGTGTATGTATTTATTTTGGTTACTGCACTCACTCACTGCCTAGGAGACTCAGTAAGATGTTGAACAGAACTGATTATATGAGTGTTCTTTGCCTCTTGATTTAATATGGAATGCTTTTAATGTTTCACTATCATGTATGGTGTTTGTTCTAGTTAAAAAAAAACCTTTTATCTGTTTAAAGAAATATCTCTCTATTCCTGGCTAGCTGAGAATTGTTGTTGCTTAATCTTGATTGGTTATTGGATTTTATGGTATGCCTTTTTTCCTGAAATCTTTGTGATGATTATCCTTTTCCTGCTCCTTTATCTTATTAATGTGTTGGATTATATTATGGATCTCCTAATGTTAATCTGACATTGCAAGCTTGGGATAAACACAACTTTATAATGTTGTATTATGTGTTTTAGCCATTGCTGGATTTGGTTTGCTATTATTTCTAATTTTTTGCATTTCTATAGCTAATTAGGATTGAATAGTAATTTTGCCTTTTCGTGCATTTTTGTCAAGAATCTGCTTTCTATGAAAAAAGAATACTCTTTAGGGATGCCTGGGTGGCTCAGTCAGTTGTGTGTCTGACTTTGGCTCAGGTCATGATCTCCCATTCATGGATTTGAGCCCTGTGGCGGGCTCTGTGCTGACAACTCAGAGCCTAGAGCCTGCTTTGGATTCTGTGTCTCCCTCTTTGTCTGCCCCTCCCTGCTTGTCCTCTGTCTCTCAAAAAAATAAGATAAAACGTTAAAGAAATTTAAAAAAGAATACTCTTTATATTATTATTTTCTATTTCTTCAATTTAAAATAATATTTTATTGAAATTCTACATGTCCATGGCATACATAAAGTTATATTAGAACACAGCTTTTGGCCAACAGCAACAGATTTGACTAGCTCCATCAAAAAGTGAAAAGTCTGCAGAGCCTCAATATTTATGAACTGATCCTTTCCAGGAAAAGTTTCTTGAACTCTGGCTTAGAGCAAGTGTTCTTAAAGCTAGTGCACAGTAACTGGTAAGTGGTTGGAAGTGCCTTTGGCTAAGCCCAGGAAGATTGTAGGTTTTTTTTTTTTCTCAGGAATCCATTTGTTTATGGTGTGGCTTAGTTGTGGGAACTGATTTTTCAACCATTGAAATATGTAAAAGCCATTATTAGCTTACAGGGCCCACAGAAACAGGCAACAGGATAGGTTTGGTCCATGGACCTGTTTGCCAATTCCCTGCTCTATGTTAATGGAACCACTAGGTCTCCAAAACATCACTGAGTGAAAGGTCAGCAAATGAGATGGAAGTCATTCTTAGGATCTTCTGGCAAGCCTAAACCAAAAAACTGATACTTTAACACAGTGGTTTTCAATCTTGGTTGCACACTGCAGTCATGTGGAGAGTTTTAAAAATGTAGTTGCCTAGTCTGATTCCAATTCTGCTTTAAGTGTTATAGGTGTAGCCTGGTGCTAGTAAGTTTTTTCAATCTCCCCTAGTGGCTTTAGCATGTGAACAAGGTTCAGAACAATCTGAATGATTTAAATGATGAGAGTGCAAGTATTTAAAAATATTTAATTTGAAAATATATATTTGTGGTTTTGGAACAATAATGTTACATTAATAAATACATATATCATGGAAACAGTAATAAATACATAGTTATGCTGGAGATATGAAGTAAAAATTCCCATGTAAGAAAGAGAGAAGAATCTATTTTTTAAAAAAAGAAAGGAAATGGGAAAATACAGTGGGAAATCAGGGATCACCAGTGGTGGGTCAGGAAGGAAGCTAAACCAGTGGCAAGGCCAGAACAAGGTATAGGTGAAAGCCAAGCACCCACAAGCACAATGAAGAATGGCAGTGAAGCTTCTTTGCAGGAGACAGTCACAATCCAAGGTAAAGGTGGAAGAGACAGAACAAATTCAGTAAATTAAATTATTTTCACTAAGGGAATAAAAAAATAGAAAAGGCTGAACAGGACCTGAAGATAATATTTTTAGAGAGATAAAGGAGTGGTAAAGGAAGAAATTATATCATTATAAAATAATAGAAAACTGATCAAGAAAAATTGCTAATTTAATATAAATACTTTGACTTCTTCCTGATATCTCTTTAAAACAATATCAAAGGTAAATAGGTACATACAATGGGATATTACTCAGCAATTAAAAAGACAAAAACATGGGTGAATCTCAAAAACATTATGCTGACTTGAAGAAGCCAGAGACAAAGGCATACAGGATGTATGATTCCATTTATATGAGATTCTAGAGCAGGCAAAACTAATATATAGTGACAGAATGCAGGTCAAGGTTTACATGGAGCTAAGAGATGAAGAGACTAATTGGGAACCTCTTAAAGTGTGGAATATGCTTTATATCTTGATCAAGGTGGTGGCTAACTCTAATCGCTGATTTTTACATATAAGTAGTTTGGGATCAGGATAAATTGGGTGAATCATCCAAAGTGTTGCAGCTTGTTAATCACAGAGAAGGAAGGGGGATCTGATTATAAATAATAAATTGTTTCTATTGTGCTGTGTAATGAGTCAACAGGAGTAGTGCTTCTCCCCAAGCACCTGACAAAACCCAAACCCAGCCTTATGTACAAGTATAGCGTGGACATGAAAGTATAAATATTCCACATTCCAACCACCCGTTTATAAACATAGTTGACATTCTTATGTTCTTATACCTTGACTTCTTTATGTTTTTATTTATAAATCAGAATATAAATTTCCACTAATATTTACTTCTGAGTAATATGATGTACATTTTTTTAATTTTGGTAAAAAAACACATAACATAAAATTTACCATCATAACCATTTCTAAGTGTATAGTTCAGTACTGTTAAGTGTACTCACATTGTTGTGAAACCGATCTCCAGAACTTTTTCATCTTGCAAAACTGAAACTCTTTGCCCTCTTCCCCCAGCCCCTGGTAACTACCATTCTACTATCCATTTCTATGAATTTGACTAGATATCTCATAAGAGTGGAATCCTACAGTATTTGTCTTATTGTGACCAGCTTATTTAATTTAGCATAATGTTGTCAAGTTTCATCCATCTTGTAGCATGTGACAGGATTTCCTTCCTTTTTAAGTCTGAATAATATTCTGTATGTATACAGCAGAATTTGTTTACAGCAGAATTTGTTTACAGCAGAATTTGTTTATCTATTGATCCATCAATGAACAGTTTACCATCTACTTCTTGGCTTTTTCTGAATAATGCTATGAACATGGGTGTGCAAATATCTCTTTGAGACTCTGCTTTCAATTCTATGAATATATACACCCAGAATTGGGATTGCTGAGTCATATTGTAGTTCTATTTTTAATTTTTTGAGGAATCTCCATACTATTTTCCATAGAGGCTGTACTGTTTTTGCACTCCCACCAATAGTGCATAAGGGTTCCTATTTCTTCACATACTTTGCTAACACTTTATGTGTGTGTTTTTTTTGTAGCCATCCTAATGGGTATGGGTGATATTTCACTGTGTTTTTTATTTACATCCCTCTGCTGATTAATGATGTTTCCTTCTATTCCTAGTTTGTCAAATGTGGTTTTTTTTTTTTACTTTTTTAAGCCTTTTTTAAATGTTTATTTATTTTTGAGAGAGAAAGAGAGACACAGAGTGTGAGCAGGGAAGGCGGAGAGAGGGAGGGAGACACAGAATCCGAAGCAGTCTCCAGGCTCCAAGATGTCAGCACAGAGCCTGATGCGGGGCTCGCACCCACCCACGAGCTGTGAGATCATGACCTGAGCCGAAGTCGGACGCCCAACCTACTGAGCCACCCAGGGACCCCAATGTATAACCTTTTAATGTGCTGTTGAATTTGGTTTGTTCATATTTTTTTGAAGATTTTGCACCAGTATTCACCAGGGGTTATTGGTCTATAGCTTTCTTATAGTGTCAGTCTGGCTTTATTATAAGGGTAATGCTGGTCTTACAGAGTACACTTAGAAGTGTTCCTTCATCAATATTTTTGAAAAGTTTCATTTGGCATTCATTCTTTAAATATTTGAGAGAATTCTCTAGTGAAGGCCTCTGGTCCTGGGCTTTACCTTATTGGGAATTTTTTGATAATTGAATCACTCTCTTTGCTCATTATTGATCTGTTCAGATTTTCTTTTTTTAATTTAAATTCAAGTTAACATACAGTGTAGTACTGGTCCCAGGAGTAGAACCCAGTGATCCATCATTTCCTCCAACATCCAGTGCTCATCTCAAGTGCGTCCTTAGTGCCCATCACCATTTAGCCCATCCTTCCACCCACCTCCCAAGCAAACTGCTTGTTTGTTCTCTGTATTTAAGAGTCTATTATGGTTTGCTTCCCCCTCTGTTTTTATCTTATTTTTCCTTCCTTTCCCCTATGTTCATCTCTTGTTTCTTAAATTCCACAAATGAGTGAAACCATATTATATTTGTCTTTGTCTGGCTGATTATTTCACTTAGCATAATACACTCTATTTCCATCCATATTGCTGCAAATAGCAAGATTTCATTCTTTTTGATTGCCACTTAGTATTCCATTGTGTATATAGATATAGATACAGATATACATATAGATATAGATGATCGTTATGATTCAGTCTTGGTATTTTGTGTTTTTCTAGGGATACATTTCTTCTAAGCTTTCCAATTCACTGGCATGCTCATAGTATATTGTTATAATTCTTTTCATTTCTGTAGTATCAGTTGTAATGTCCACCTTTCCTTTTTTTATTTTAGTTATTGGAATCTTTATTTTTTTAGTGAGTCTTATCTAAAGGTTTGTCAATTTTATCTTTTCAAAAAACAACTTAGTTTCGTTGATTTTTTTCTATTGTTTTTCTCAAGAAAGGATCATGGTGAATAATTCTTTTAATGTACTGTTGAATTCAATTTGCTAGTATCTTGTTGAGAATTTTTGTTGCCATGTTGATCAGGGATATTGGCCTATAATTCTCCTTTTTAGTGGGGTCTTTGGTTTGAGAATCAAGGTAATGCTGGCTTCATAGAATGAGTTTGGAAGCTTTCCTTCCATTTCTATTTTTTGGAACAGTTTGAGAACAATGGGTATTTAGTCTCCTTTAAATGTCTCGTGTAATTCCCCGGGGAAGCCATCTGGCCCAGGACTCTTGTTTGTTGGGAGATTTTTGATTACTGATTCAATTTCTTTGGTGGTTATGGACGTGTTCAAATTTTCTATTTCTTCCTGTTTGAGTTTTGGTAGTGTGTGAGTTTCTAGGACTCTGTCCATTTCTTCCATATTGTCCAGTTTGTTGGCATATAATTCTTCATAGTATTCTCTTATAATTGTATTTCTGTAGTGTTGGTTGTGATCTCCCCTCTTTCATTTGTAACTTTATCTATTTGGGTTCTTTCTTTTCTTTTTGAGAAGTATGGCAAGAAGTTATCAATTTTTTTGTTTTCTTTTCTTTTATTATTTAAAAGAATAATACATTGAGTTTATTTTTTTGGTGTACAGTTCTACAAATTTTAACCCATGTGTAGATTTTATAACCATCTCCACTGGATACAAAACAATTCTGTCACTCCAAAAACCTCCCTCATGCTGTAAGTCTATAGTCATGCCGTCCCAAACCCCAATGCCTGGCAACTACTGATTCTTTTTTTTTTTTTTTAATTTTTTTTTTCAACATTTATTTATTTTTGGGACAGAGAGAGACAGAGCATGAATGGGGGAGGGGCAGAGAGAGAGGGAGACACAGAATCGGAAACAGGCTCCAGGCTCTGAGCCATCAGCCCAGAGCCCGACGCGGGGCTCGAACTCACGGACCGCGAGATCGTGACCTGGCTGAAGTCGGACGCTTAACCGACTGCGCCACCCAGGCGCCCCAACTACTGATTCTTTATCATTATAATTTTCTTTGAGAATGTTATTTAAATGGAATTATATAGCATTTAACCTTTTGAGACTGGCTTCTTTCACTTAGCAAAATGCCTTTTAGATTTATACAAATTGTTACATGTATCAATAGTTTTTTCCCCCACTTATCACGTATTCTATAAAGTAACCATAGTTTATTTACTCATTGGAGGACATTTATGTTTTAGTGATTATGAGTAGCTCCTTTTAATTTGTACCTAAGTTTTTTTCTCTCTGAGGTAAACACTCAGGAGTGGGATTGCTGTGTCATATGGTAAGCGTATGTGTAACTTCCTAGGAAACTGCTAAACTGTTTTCCAGGGTGACTGTACCATTTTGCATTTCACGAACAGTGTAGGAGAGTTCTGGTTGCTCTGGAACTTCTGAGCACATGGTACTTTTTATTATCACCATTTTAATAGGTATATACAAATATCTCATTGTGGGGCTTTTTAAAATTTAAATTAAAGTTAGTTAACCTACAGTGTAGTCTTTGCTTCAGGAGTAGAACCCAGTGATTCATCTCTTATGTATCACACCCAGTGCTCATCCCAACAAGTGTCCTCCTTAATGCCCATCACTCATTAGCCTATCCCCCCCACCTGCCTCCCATCCAGCAACCTTCAGTTTGTTCTCTGTATTTAAGAATCTCTTATGGTTTGCCTCCCCCTCTGTTTTTATCTTATTTTTCTTTCCCTTCCTCTATGTTCATCTATTCTGTTTCTTAAATTCCACATATGAATGAAAACATATATTTGTCTTTCTCTGACTGATTTACTTCACTTA